ATCCATTTTCCCCTTGCTTCTCAGTTTGGGGCGTGGGCTATTGAAAAGCAGGTCTGTCCTCTCTGACTCATTTTTTATCGCCTTTGATGGTGGAGAACTCACTCTTACTGAAATAAGTCATGTCCTTTTGGCCCTTCCTGACCCTTAAAGGGTTCCATTTGTTAACACCTAGGCTTCTGCCTCTCCCTTCCATGCTCTGTCCTCTCTGAGTTCCATCCTCTCTCCAGGATCGGCTCTTAGCCCTGCAGAGAGAGATAATCCCCTTTCCCACTTCTGGTGTCTGCTTTGCCTGCAGCAAAAAGCCAGGGCTAACAAACACACACACACACACACACACACACACACACACACACACACACGAGACTGAGAAGTACTCAGACAGAATTTGCCCAGCCTCCAGCAAAGGGCTGTTCCCATGAGAATCACAACACAGAGCAGTTGCCCTTGGCACTACCTTCTTCCTGTAACTTGACTGCAGCCCTTTAGCTGGAGAGGCACGGCAGGGAGTGGGTGAGTCTATCTCTCTGATTACTTTCTGTTGCCTACCCTTGGTGGCACACCCAAGTGCACAAAAATCTTCCGTCTGTGTGCATGTGTGCGCTTGTGTGTGCGTGTAGTGCTCCTCTACTCTTGTCCTCGTATTCTCCAGGACTCCACTTCTTAACTCCTTGGTCACCCTCACGAGCCCCTCTGAAAGAGGGGAGACAGATATTCATTCAATCAACATGCATTAGGTGTCCTTGATGTACAAGACAATATGGGCTGGGGGATTGGAAGACACAGACCTTGCCCAAATAGAAGATGTGAGTCCTTTCTCATCTACGTGGGAGGGATCTCTGGAATATTCCAGACAACATCTCGCTTCCAGAAGAGGAAAGAGAACAACCTATGAATTAAGCTTCTCTAAGACATTACAACCTATGAATTAAGCTTCTCTAAGACATTCGAAACTGTGAGGATTAAGATGGTCCTAAAGGAGGAGGAGACATGTTTTCTTTAGAAAACATGTAGAATTTTACTTTTAAATTAATTTGGGGAATATTAATACATATGCATGCTTTAAAAAAAATTAAACACTAAAAAGTGAAACTTCCTTCCTATCCTGGCCCCCAGCGCCTTAGTTCCCTCCCCAAGGGACAATTACTATTAAGGGGTTTTTTTTGCCTCCTTGGAGAGAACGTGTACAAACATATGCACGCATCCCCATTGCTCCTTTCTTTTATGCACATGGCCCTCCTCCTTGCTTTTTTAACTTAAACTATACACTATGGAGACTGCTCTTCTCTGTAAGTGCAGAACTGCCTTCTCCTTTCAAGGGCTACGGAGCGGGGAGGAACCACACCGTATTTAACCAGCCGCCACTGATGCAATTTATGAGGTTTCCAGGCCTTTGCTGTAACAAACAACGCTGTGATAGGCTGAAGAGTAAAATAAGGAGGAATAAAATTGTACCTAAAATATATAATATGGTCAAGGTCAAATATTGCTTTAGAAACAGGTAGACTTAACAATCTGTAGAAAACAGATATCTACCAAAAAACAGACCTGAAGTGAATTAAAAAAAACCAAAAACACGGGTTCGTTTATCACCAACTGGGCTTGCAAGATAGGGAGGAAAATAAACGCCTGGTCCTTAGCATAATATTGTTCATAGAGGCGTAATATGGTTTGCACATACTTGGAAGAAAACCAACTCACATCAGGATCATCCCCGAGAAAGGGCAGCACCAAGACACCACCACTGCCCGGGTGGGAATGATACCGTCAACCTCACATGCAAGCCTAATGTGGACACAGAGGTGGGTGGCCTTGAAGGACCACTTAGGGATAGTACACATCGTCCCTTGGCAGGTACTAAGACAGGTAAAGTGGGGGGAACAGGAGGAAGAGGAACTGGGGCAGGGTGTGAAATTTGTAAACATGTAAATTTAGTAAGAGGGGTTAGAGCCTCTTGTGGTTCAGCCTCTTGTGGCTTCTCCAACCTGCTGGCCAACTCAGCCTTGTTGTCCAGCACAAGCTCTGCATCTCTGCTGCCTTCCCTGTGCTAATTGATCAGCATTGCTGCCTGGAGGAAACCCAGGACCAGGAGAAGGTCCATCTCCCGGTTCTGGATGACAAGGCTGGCTTTGGAGCAATATGTGCAGCCGCCTGCTAACTAGGTAGCTTCCCTGCCTTTATTATTGCCCTACAGTGGGCAGTCCTCACAATGTGTTTCCTGTAGGGAAAATTCTCAGAAGTAAAATTTCTAGGTCAAAGAGTATACACAATGTTATATTTTGAAAGGTAATGTAAAATTGCCCTGCAAAAAGATTCATACCGATTTATATATGCACCAGCCCCGTATGAGGGTCCATGCTTCTCTGTACCCCCTCCAACCCAGTGTGTTATTAGACTCTTTGATCTTTGATCACAGGATGAATTGTATCTGAAAAACAAACAGACTTCACTTGCATTTCTCTTGTTATAAGGGAGGTTGAATATATTTTCTTATGTTTAAAAGCCATCTGCTAGGGTGTTTCGTTTTGTTTTGTTTTTCCTTGTAAGCTGTTGGTTTGGTGTCCTGTGTTGAAATTCCTATTAAGTTAATGATTTTTTCCTTATTGATGTACAGGTGTCCTTTGTATGTAAGGAAATCAGGTCTTTGTCTGATATGTGTTACAATTATTTTTCCGTTTGTTATTCATCTATTGACTTTGAGGTATCTTTCCCTTCCAGAAATTTTACGTTGTGACATAGTTAAATTCATCGTCTTTTCCCCCACCGATTTGGAATGCTGTCTTTACCATATGGTAGAATGGAAGAGTAGAAGTCTTTCAAAGAGAACAGAACTGGCCAAGATAAGTCGGTCTGGCTAGAATGAAGGGTGTATGTGGAAATGAGGCTGGTGGGATGCTGGCGTGGCTGTGGCTGAGAGCTCTGCTCTGGGGACGGAGCAGAAGCCCAGGAGTGGCTGCAGGAAATGCAACTGCAGGTTTACACGTGTTCAGTCCCCATCAAGACCATACATTTGATTTGCCTGGAAACCTCTCATTACAGACTCTGATCACCTGGGAAGGTGATGTCCTCGTGTGCGTGCAGAAGGGGGAAAAGAAGAACCGAGGCTGGAAGCAGTGGGTCGAGGGGGACAAGCTGCACCTGGTAAGTCCCCAGCTCCCCTCCACTCTGCTTATGCCAACCGCCGGTTCACCCAGCCAGGCGCTTTGACAAGAAAAATGGCCGTGCCCTCCTCCCCTAAGCTCCAGCCAAATGCGTGTGGTCAAATGCGTGAGCCATTCCCATCTGGCTCAGGGGACTCCAGGAGGAAATCTATATGGCTGTTTCTCTGAACGGCTGAAATTAAAAGGAAAGTTCAAGATGCTGAGTTAGGAAGCCGAGATCCAAGGAGAAATGCAGGGAACCTGTCAAAGGTCAGCCGGGGAGAAATGCGAGGCACAGAATTAAGATGCCCTGGAGGAGGGTGAGACCAGGCCTCCTCAGTGATGTGAGCCTAGGAAGGAGAGGGGTTGTGGTGGGCTCGGGATGCATGGGAGCAGGTTGCACTGGGAACTGCCTGTAGACCGCAGGCACTGGCCTCACATCCTAAGCTATGTCCACCTGATCCCAAAATATTTTAGTTTAATTTGACACCGGAACAGAGCAGTTGGAATAAATTATTTCTGATTTCCTTGTATAAATTATATCCATCTAGATAGCTTAATTTTTCACTCTTCAGTCTTTAAGGCAAGTGATTTGTCCAACATTCAATAGTGAAAAATCTTTCACTCCTTCATGCATTCAGTCACTCGTTTGTTAAATGAATGGCTCATTTAATGGATGGCTCTTTATTCATTCACCTGTGGAGTCAAGCAGGTACCTGGCTCTGGTGTCAGTATTCATGTCACAGGGTGCCCTTCAGAGCCAGCCTTGCCTCACCTGAGTTCTTTATTTCAGAGACAATGTCAACTGGTGATAAATGGGAGGCAGTCACTGTTTTCCATCGACAGTTTTCCCTACCTGCTCCAGTTTGGAAGGTGGATTTTTTAAATTGTAGTACAAACCCCAATTGTCCCTGTGGCTAAGCCAAGGGATTCACCATCAACTGCAATGATTTTTGTGGTCGTTCCCACACTCGTGTTTTTCCTCTCCTCCCTCAAAGGGTCACGAGGCGCAGATAAGGTCTGGGGGCTCCCTCTGTCCAGATGTCTGCCCAGGCAGGCCTGGGGGAGCCCTTCCGCAGCCCGTGCCCTGTCATTGCTTGTGCTGCCACCAACCAACGTTCTAATCACCGGAGGCCAGAAAATCCACAGGGTGCAGGGACAGCTCACCAGGCGCTTGCCTTCCAAATGCTCCCCACTAGATCCTGCCCTTCTTTGTGGCTTTGCTGCCTTTTATAAATTAAGCGATGTTGCTTTAATCACGAGAGTAGGAGAAATCCTGCTCAAGAGGATAATTTCTTCGCATTTTTCATTTTTATAGTTGTTCAAGCTCAATTCAAGTGTCAAAATCAAATTACTGCTACCTGCGGGGCACGCCAGCTGATTGGGTCTCTGAGAGGCTCTTTGCGCAGAATGACTAAGTGTCCTCTTTATTCCGGCTCCTCCCCCACCCCAACACACAGACACCCAGAGGGCTGGGGGTGGGCGGAAGGAAGGCCTGGCTTGTTAGTCACTCACCTGCTTCTGATGTTGCAGGAGCTGACGTGCGGCGACCAGGTGTGCCATCAAGTGTTCAAGAAGAAGTGATGGCCGTGAGAAGTGGGCCCCTTGTCCCCAGCTTCCCCAGAGCCTCTCGAGGAGCCCCATGTCTCCAGATGACCCCTCCCAAGTCTTGCCTTTGCTCACCACAGCCTCAAATGACCCTCAAAAGCACGCGCTCCATGCTCCCCATGAAGAGCTCTCGGCTGGCTTTGGGGAACAGCCGCAGGAACCCCCTACTCCTGATAGAGCCCATGGAGGCATCTGGATGGGTTTTAAACAGAACGAGTATGTAACAGTGAGAGACATAGTCATCCTTCCTTGAAAACTGGCATTAAACGAGAAAACAAAAATCACTCCCATACTTTGAAACCCTTCCATCTATTCCCCTTTATTTCTAGAACTGTCACTTTTATCCGCAAGCAGAAGAGGTCATTGCCTGCATGGTGGTTTTCTGTGCAGCTTTTGTCGTTTAGTTTTCAGTTTGGTTTAGCTTCGTTTCTTTGTCGTTAGTTTGGGTGTGGGGTTGTTTTACCTGGAAACACTCTCTGGCCAGCACAACGTATCCCCTACTAATTCTTGGACATTGCCTATTGGAGATTCTTTCCTATGGATAGCACATTTATTTCTCCAAGATCCTATTTTAGGAAGCATACGCTTTCCAGTTTGTACTTTCCCTTAAGGAGCCTGAGCGGCTCTACCTCTAAAGGCCTCTGCAGGTCTGCAGTGTCATCTGCTTTTGGTCCAGGCCAGTCCTTTGCGCTTCAGCCCTGGGCAGACTTTCACCCCTGCAGAGGGGTCACCAAGCTCTGCCAGGTAGCCTTAGTTCAAGCCCTGTGCTCCACTTCTTAGCTGGGTGACCATAGGCACATCATTTGGACTCTCGATCCTTGTTGATCTCTTCTATAAAATGGAGAAGACAAAAATAGCATCTCCTCCACTGGGATGGGTCACTGTGAGGATTAAGTGAGTTAACACGTACAGAGGGCTTGGAACAGGACCTGGTACGTGGTAAGGGCTCAGTCCCTGCTAGCTCTGGTCATTATGTGGATCTACCCCCTCCACCACCTTCGGGGTCCAGATGAGTGGATGCTCAGCAGCAGTAGGTCAACACCTCCGAGGCTTCCTGCTGCTTCCAGAACATTAGGTTCGTTACTCCGAGGGAGCACTGTATTTTCCTGCTGGATATGTAAATGGAATAGTGCACCTGGAACAGGAGAGTAGTTAATAGGGATGGATTTATGGTGGATGGTTCATGGGATCCTGAGAAGGCACTGCAGGTCAGAGCCATCTCTGTATCCTTCTGTAGCAGAGCCTGGAATCCCACCATTAGACAAGCACTGCCTTTGAAAGGTAGGTTCATGCCAGGAGGGATAGCAGGTGGTATTAGCACCCTCTGGTATGATTTTTTTTTTTTTTTTTTTTTTT